GCAGGGAGCCCAGGAATTTTAATGACATTTGAAATGAGGTTGTCCTTTTGTTGCCAAGTTTCCAATTTTTGCCTGTGCTTTGGGCTTGGCCAAAGTCTTGCAGAGCAGGTTGTTGTCAACTATTATGGAAGGCTCATTTTCCGGAAGCAGAACGAGCTGGTTACTAATGACAAGCTTGTTCAGCATGATTTTAACTAACTGTCTGAAAGGTATGTGGACAGGATGTTCCAAACTGCAAAATATGCATTTCAGGAGCCTCTAATGATCTCAGGAAAAGGGCTGCTCCTAGGGTCACTTACTTGAACTTTGCCCTGAGTATTTTCATGCTTCAGGAGTGTTGCTTGTGCAAAATATTGTTGGATTGAGCCTTGCTTGGTTTGTGTTCAGATGTGGTTGGTTTGCCTTGGGCATAGTTCTTGCTGGTACAGATGGAGCAGTAGTTTTGTAATACCATTTACAGATGTATGCTTATGATTAAGCTGTGGATATCTCAGTGTCTCTGAGAAGGTGTTTAATGTAGTATTTGTGTATTTCAGTGCTTCATCCTAAGTCTGGGTGAGAGTTTGGAAGACAAACCATGTCCAGATCTTTAGCTAAAGAGAATCTCTAAACCTTCAGTATGGGTATAATTAATTATTCTTGTTTTGCTTTAAAAATGCAGGACATTTGAGGCTAGTACCTTAATTAAACATGGCTAGTGACATGGCCAAAAATCCAAGTAACTGTTTTGATGCTGCTATCTTGACTGGGCCAAGTGCCACTTATTTTTCTCTCTAGGTTGGGTAGGGAATGTTTAGGTGAATGTTCAGGCCTAGGCCAGTTGTTCACAACTCTAGAAGATGGTACTGCATTATGTACCTTCTCTTTACTGTCCATAAGATGCTCCATGGAAAGCATTAGCCCTGGCCTGGAATTAGGGACAGTTGGACAGCAGTGTTAGCTGGAAAGCAGTGTGTACTTCAGCCAAAAGGAGCAAGCAGACTGCTGTCAATTTTCAGCCTTTTGTACAAGAATCAGAGAAAAACAAGGAGGAATATATGTGACTTTTTTCTTTAAAACAAGAACAGGATCCCATCCTCAACCAGAGTCTCATCTTGCTGCTACCAATGCATGCTTTTTTCCTTAGCGAGACAACTTGTATCCCAAGTAGGTGGAATGAATTATGGATATCAGTTTTAAGCAATGCTGTATTAGGGAATTTCATCTCTGTACCTAAGACCAATGTAATGAAAAATGAAAAATTAATATGTCCTCAAAACTTTTCTCAAATATTTGTAATAAGAGACAGTTAATTTAAGAGGGAGTGAACCAAGTCAAAGTTTTTACATTTGTTTTGTTTTTAATTGTGCAAGTCATTAGAATAGTCCAAGCAATGTAAATAAATGTTACCAGTGAGGAAAACAGTTGCTAGACAGCAGTTGAGGAACTTTTATTCTACAGAAGCATTGGAAATGGGAGCCTGTGACATTTATGGGATTGTAGGATGGCAGTGATATAGGTGGCTGCTGAATGCACACACCCATCCTTTGAAATGTCACTTGTGTGTCTCGGTAAGTCCACTGGAAGAAGTAACACTTATTTTGTGTCTCTTGGGGCAGAGTAGTCTCCTCTGTAACTTGATCCCACACAGGCTTGTGAGAAGTGGTTTCATTTGCCCTTCTGACACTGTGAGGAGGTGACCTTTATGGTTTTAAGTCTCTAGCAGTCTTGGTTCCCTGAGTTTTTCCCCTCTTCTATCCAGACAGTCCTAGTGTTCGCATACCTTTCCAGGCTGGTAGTCTCTCGAGAGAAATGCCACCAAGTCCCCTCTCTCAGTTTCTCTGTAGCTCCTGACAGGGAGAGGAAGAAATTTGATTGATGTGGCTTCTTAACTTTTATTGTTTTCTCCTTCATTATTATTTCTGTGGGAATATCAAAGGTCTCCCATTGTGGGACAGGTCTTTGTAGTTACCAAGTGCATTATAAATGCCTTCTGCCAAGTAGAGGTAACAACTTAAGCCTGGTCCGTGTGTTTCCATCTGAATAAGCTTCAGTCTCTGAAATGTCACACAAAAACCTGAAGGCTTTATACCATGGCTGCCTGCACATCCCCCCTCCTCACCTGTGCCCACTATTCTAGGCACTGTTATCTTCCATTTTTGGCTAGATGCAACCTGGAGGTCACATAATGTCTCGTAAATGCCAAGATCAAAATGGTGGCAAAGCCTCTGGACTTGTTTTCTGCACAGATATTTGGGGAAGGTTTGGCTGAGCAATGCTGTGTTCTCATGCTCAGAGGAGTGTAATTCCTGCTCTTGGTACTAGCAGGTCTAAATAAGGAGTTTTCTACAAGTTGTGCATGGATGCTTTGGTTCTCAGATGATTTAAGGCCTGCACATGTAGTTTCCTTCTCTCTATGTATATATCAACTGATGTTTATTATGTTGATACGCTTTCAATTCTGCAGAACTGTTTATATTTTTCTCTTGAGGAACTGAAATTTGGTGTGTAGGTAACATGCTTTCCAGACTTGCTGTTAAATTAGTAAATAATGATTCCACAGGTTTTAACAAAATAGGCCAAGATTGCATTTTGGACAAATCATTCCTAGAGGTGGAAGAAAGGCCTTGCTCTTAGAACTCTAGTATTTAAGTAACAAACTAATAGTTCATTCAGTTGCTCACAGTCCTTGCTAAATTCAGGGGATTGCTGATTTTGCTGCAATTGCAATATTAACACCACTCTTTAATTATTAAAGGCATTAAATGCTGCTGTCAGCTGCTTCACGCACTTAGTGAGCATGAACATGTTCTTCTAGTCAGTTCTTGGAGCCATGCATATGCAAGACTTATAATTAGATTCTAATTAACTGTAATTATGAATGGAGATCAGCCCAAGCCATAAAATGTAAATTTAGATATTTACTGTGTTAATATGAAGATTAGGTGAAGATAAAGGGCTTGATTTTTGTTACATTTTCCCTGCAACAGTAGCATGATGGAGTCTTAGTGAAGGTGTTGTTGAAACTAGTATTGCTGCAGTTAACATCCATACTACAGTTTTTTTCCTGCAGATTGCCGTAGGTGAGATTCAGGCCAAAAAGGTCATGTCATTCACATGACCTGAGAAGTGAAGACAGTAGAAAAAGGGTTGCAGGAGGACTGAGAAATTATTTTGTCCAGAGGCATGGGCGGCAAGTGTTTTGAACTATATGGTAAACATTTCTGATAGTTATTCACCAAAGGACAGTGCAAAAGGTGCGAGTGGGATTTCTGCTCAGGAAAGGGGAATTCCCCTTTATTTCGATGCTGCAGTTAAATTCCAGGCACAAGTGTTTTCCAGTTGTGCACAGAGCTGCTGCTGTGTATGGCTGGGTCAGGGTGTGTTGTTCCTGACACCGATGTACAGGGAACTGACTGCTGTGTTGAGCTGCTGTGTTGCTATGCTAACTCCTCCGTCTTCTCTTAAAGGCTTTATTGGAAAAACAAACCAATTAAGAAATATTTGGAATCATAAAAAAGATGTAATGGTTTCCTCGACTAAGGTTCTACATTAACATTTCACTTTTGCTGTGGAAACAGTTGCTGTTTGTTTGTTTGTTTGTTTACATCTGGGAATCAAATATTTCACATTGTGCAAATAATTTAATCTTTACGGCTGTTATATAAAGTATAAAATGCTGCATATAAAGTGTTGCTGTGTTGATACTTGCTGCCCAAGTGAAGCAGGAAGGGATAAATTTATGCTTGTTCCTGGTTATTATATTTATTGGAAATGAAAAGTGAAGTATTAAATCAGGGAAAAACACACTAGGATTATTCTTCTTCATTTTGGAACAAGGCATCAGTGTTTCAGGATTATGGTTATTCACAGTCTATTAACCTGGATAGACTGAAACGTTCCTGTCTCCCTTTCCCCCTGCCCTGTTTTTCTTAAATGGAAACAATGTGTTTTGCTGTTGACTGGAAGGCTCAATTTTAGAAAGTTTTCTTGTAACAGTGAGGGGGTTACAAAATTATTTTTTAAGCACCCCCCAACATACTTGCTGGTAGAAGAGTGTAGTGGGGAATGACAGACTGGGATGGACAGGAGCTCTGTAGTTAGAATGACTTTTGGATGTCTCACACCCTTCCTTTTGTGTTTTCTTCCTCAAAGCACTTCCAGACACTGCAAAGTGACATTATTAATGCAAATTATTTTAAAAGTTTTAACAGTTTCTAAACACTTTCTAAGTTAAGCTTTGAAAAGGCACAGCACAAAGACAAATAAATTTGCAATACTTGTCTGTGACTAAAAACACTTGGAAATTAATCAGGTATTTGAACATGCAAATTAAAATTATAGTCTCTAATAACATTATTGTCCCAATTGTGAAGAAAATAAAAATGTTTACCCAGTTTGTTTACTAAGCGTATATGCCCAACTCCTGCCACAGGATCTGTGGAATCTCTCTTTGCTCAGCAAAAAGCGACATGATGTTATTAGATAATTACCTTCAATTGAAACATAGATACAAAGTGAGCAAAGGAATCTATTATGTTTTTGGAGTGGAATTGTATACAGTTTTCTGTGCTTCATGCTGCTTGACATATCAATTATGATCGTGTATTGTCCCTCTGCGTTAAACCGCTACTTGACTGTCTTTGACTCCTGCCTTGAAGCCTGCAATATCGTGCCTGCCAGTGGTGCAGCTCAGAACCATTGCTGTGGGACACTTCCATAGTTCCTAGTTACAAAACACGTCAAGCAGTGGTAGAAGCATGCTTGACTCTGCTTAATGCCTTTGAATTCCCAGTGGGAACATCTTTCTTTTTGGTTGTGTCTTAATTAAACCTTGACAAGACAAAACTCCTCTCGCTGCTGTGGCTGATGGGGGCATCTCATTGCCTGATTGCTTCTGTGGTTAGCAAAGCAAACTGGGGGCAAAGGACTATTTGCAGAGGAGGATGTGGGCTGCATGAGATTGGAAGGACAGGCAAGCTCTTGTTTTTCTCTCTGCTACAGACAGTGGTTGGATCCAAATGGGGCCTTATGGAGACTTTTATGGCCACAAAGGTCTGTCTTGACACTGATGATATCTGTGCCTGCTGGGGCTCAGATCAATGCCTCTCCTCAAAAGGCTTTATCATCTAAAATGCTTCTTGATCGACCTTTGACAAAGCCTTTGGTTTGAAAACCTGCTGGTCTCCAGCTGGGATAACATAGCATATTTTGAGTTTCAGGTCACTCAGATAATCGGTTGCAATATGTAGAGCAAAATACAGTTTGGAGCACAAAGTGCTGCAATGATTGACTGCATGTGCATCAAGTACTGGAGTTGCTGTTGTAGGAAAAAACAAAGTAACAGCTGAAAAGCTTTAAAATCAGATGCTTAGATATTAAGATCCTGTGTACTTCTGTATTTAGCCTGAGAGAGGCTCATACATTGTCTCTCAGAGATTCTGATTCAGGAATCCATCCAACTAATCTGTGATGACTAGATAGATGGGTACCTAATGCTGCTGAAAATCATGTTACTTTGGTCCCTGCACTTGAATTTTTGGGCACCCAAGCTGGAAGTTGTTGGATAACAACTTTTAGAAGAGGGGAACCAGAGCTTTTTTGTTTGTTTGTTTGTTTTTGTTTGTTTTGTTTTGTTGTTGGTTGTGTTTTTTTTTCCCCCAGTAGCATCCAGATCAAATGAAGGATTTACCTTTTGGAGAATTTCTAGGGAAACTGAAATTAGAATTAAGACACACACTGTCTCTAGAATTCCCTGATCTGTCAGAAAATCTCTTCTTGGTGTAGATATTGCAATAGATTACTGCTAACCAATGTTTCTAACCTCTAATAATTTCAATTTCCCCTTGCAGTAATGCGTAGAAATCCATTTGGGATGGACATTTGCTGCCGGAAAGGATCCAGAAGCCCACTTCAGGAACTGTATAATCCCACCCAGGTGAGTGTCTCATGACTGTGGTCAAACTTCTCAGTCCAGCATTCAAATACATTCTCTCTTGGAAGTACTTGGGTCTATGTTTTCTCATTTTTAATCATCTAATGATGCAGACTCCTCCAAAATTTGGTTTAGGTACCTAAAAGGTATAAAAAAGTACCTTGTAGATCTCCTAGCTAGAAGCCAAGGCATTGTGATTTAATCTGTTGATCAACACACAGAGTGGCAGGGTGGAGTGAGAGAAAGTGACATGTTGTACATGAAACAGGGAGTGTGCTAAGACTATAAATTGCAATAATAATACTTCAATATAATTTCTGTGGCTTTCAGGTAGCCAGGTGCCCTTTGTGTTCTGGTTCATTGCCTGTATAGGTTTTAGACAAACACAGTAGCTCACACTCTTCCTTATAATGTTTGCTCTTTAACACCTGATGGACTTCACAAGAGCTTAGGATAATCTCAGCTGAAGTTCTTCTTGTGACAAGCAGCACAGGAAAGCTACCTGAAATTCAGGACCCTGTTCCCTCCTTCAGATCTATACATGGGCTGAATTGGCACATTCAGTAGCATTTCCTGTTGGCAACCAAGAGGAAATGCTGCCATTGAGAGAAAATGCCAGCTGACTATTAAACATATTTATTGAGGTTTAACAACTGCCCATTATATATTTATCCATCAATGAATACATTGAGTTTTACTAAATTGGCTATTAAGGGAAGTGACTATCCCAATAAATCTAAATTGTTAGATTTAACAAGGCAGTAAATGTTTTAAATACTGTTTGATTATGAAGACACTCACTGTATAGTGTGCAAAATGAAGTCTAAGTGATTTAAAGTGTTCATATGAAGCATTGACAACAACCCCAAGATGTGTGATATCTGTTATGTAGTGCAGTAAAGCTCCATTTGCTCGATAGTGTTGTTTTTATGAACATAGGCTGACTTTCTAATTCAATTTGAATTCTGTGCATGGCAGGGAACATGAGTTTATCATACTAATAGACTGGCCTTTATTGACCATTATGGGAGTTGGCATTGCATAAATGCAAAGTGCATGTAAAAGCTCTGAAGAGGAACAATCCATTGCTACAAAGGAATATTACCATTTGCAGGTTAAATTTAAAGACTTTCTGCAGATCTTCAAGAAGGGCAGGTAATGGAAAAGAGGCTGGCTGAATAATTATTCTGAGGTCTACTCTGTGTCAGTCAAAACCTCCTTGCCCTTTAAAGGCCATCCCAGAAGAAAGAAACTTTCCCACCCATCAAAGGGCCATAATCCCAGATTGGGATTTATTGCAGGCTGGTCAGATGAAATTTCCTGAGCTTCTTAAAGCAGGGGATGCAGCTGGTGGCTTCTTCACTGCCTCTCCTTCCTTTCTGCATGCCCTGACCAAGCAAACCATTTGCATCCCTTTCCAGGCTTGCCTACAAGCCAGCCAGAGAAGTCGATATGTGAGGAAGAGCAGCAATTCTTGCAGCTGATGTTGAACTAAGAAAATGACGGGTTTTTTACACCAAAGTGTTCCCATCAGCTCACTGACATCTGTTTTTATCAAGTTTTTTTATTTGTTCTTGGTAATTGTTTTCTTTTTGGATGAAGCTTTGCATGCTGCACTCAGCCCTAGAGTGACCAGCAGTGTCAGGCAATTGAGTGTGTGCATTTTGGGAAAGCAGTAACAAGAAAAGGTGGTGAGTAGAGCCTGCCATAGAAGGCAACAGACTGGAGATAACCTCTAGAATATTTCTTCAAGCACGTGGGTCATCTTTCTTTTTCCATTTTGTCCAAAGAAGAGTCTGTCTCACTTTTATTAAGGTGGCAGGCTAGAGACTGGTCCATATTTTGGCAATAGGGTGCTTGTTCCTTAAGAACTCACCAGTAGTTGTGAGGGTGGGGGAACAGAGATCAGACCCCAAATCTTTATCTGCAGTTCCTTGCTGAAGCAGTTGTCATCAGCCATTTGTAAAGTCAGTTCAGAAGTCAAAATACAATAAATATGGAAGAAGGCATTTTTGGCCAGAATCTCTCCTTTTGATATAGGTAATGGAAACACTGATTAGATGTTTAACCCTTGACCATCAGAACCTGTTGGACTCTGGTGCTGTGAACCCACATTGTTCTCCTGGGGGTCTATAGCTATGTGCTGTCACAGGAACTTTTTTGCTCTTACTTTAGCTGCCTCCAAGGGCTGATGGAGCTGATAGAGCAGATACTCGTAGTTCTCCTTGTAGATCAAAGGAATCTGTATAATTCAAACACCAGACTTAGGCTGCTAAAAGATGCCCTGCAGCCATCACTTTGGATTACTCCAAGCTAGGTGCAGTTGTGATTTTTTTCAGGGCAAGAAACATTAAATATTTAATGTGTCCATGTGCAAGGAGGATCCAGGAAACTATAGATCTGTCAGTCTGACCTCAGTACCAGGGAAGGTCGTGGAACAGATCATCTTCAGTGTTAGTAGAAGACATATAGAGGATAACCAGGGGATCCAGCCCAGTCAGCATGGGTTTATGAAAGGCAGGTCCTGCCTGACAAACCTGATCTCCTTCTATGACCTAATGACCCAACTATTGGATGAGGGAAACGCTGTGGATATTGTCTATCTGGACCTCCAAAAAGCATTTGACATGGTTCCCTGTAGAACTCTCATAAAAACACTGGCTGCTTATGGCCTGGATGAGGACACAATCTGTTGGATCAAGCACTGGCTGGACAGTTGGGCCCAAAGAATGGTGGTCAGTGGAGTCAAATCCAGCTGGGGCCAGTCACAAGTGGTGTTCCTCAGGGCTCAGTGTTGGGACTGTTTCTGTTTAACATCTTTATTGATTATAAGGACATAGAGTGTATCATCAGTAAGTCTCCAGATGACACCAAGTTAGGCAGGAGTGTTGATCTGCATGAGGATAGGGAGGCTCTACAGAGAGACCTGGATAGGTTAGATCCTTGGGCTGATGTTAATGGTCTGGGCTTCAACAAGGCCAAGTGCCGGGTCCTGCACTTGGGCCACAACAACCCCGGGCAATGCTACAGGCTTGAGGAAGTGTGGCTGGAAAGTGTCTGGCAGAAAAGGACCTGGGGGCTCTGACAAGCGACTGAATATGAGCCAGAGGTGTGCCCAGGTGGCCAAGAAAACCAATGGCATCCTGGCTTGTATTAGAAATAGCGTGACCAGCAGCAGTAGAGAGGTGATTGTCCCCCTGTACTCAGCACTGGTGAGGCCACACCTGGAGACACAAGTGTATCCAGTTTTGGGCACCTCAATTCAAGAGAGATCTCGAGGTGCTGGAGTGAGTACAGAGGAGGGCAACGAAACTGGTGAAGGGCCTAGAGAATAAATCTTATGAAGAACAATTGAAGGAGCTGGGAATGTTTAGTTTGAGAAAGAGGAGGCTGAGGGGAGACCCCATCAGTCTCTACAACTACCTGAAAGGTCATTGTAGAGAGGTTGGTGCTGGTCTCTTCTCACAGGTAATTAGTGACAGAACAAGAAGGAAGGGCTTCAAACTGCAGCAAGGGAGGTTTAGACTGGACATTAGGCAAAAAAATTTCACAGAAGGAGTAGTTAGACGCTGGAATAGGCTGCCCAGGGAGGTGGTTGAGTCACCATCCCTGGATGTGTTTAAGGGTTGTTTGGATGTGGTGTTGGTGGAGATGGTTTAGGGGAGAACTTCGTAGAGTAGGGATGATGGTTGGACTCAGTGATCCCAAGGGTCTTTTCCAACCTGAATTGTTCTATGATTCTATGTTTTTTATGTGATGTAGTACAGCAGGAGAACCTACCTATGGCTGCTCTGGAGTGCACTAAACATTTAACATGCTTCAGTTTTCCTTGCATAGGCAGCAAAGTGCAACCATGGCTGCTGCTGCTCCTGGGAATGTCTCCAGGACCCCTGGGAGAGGTGGGCAAGGGAGGGGGCTGTATGAGGCTCCCTGTTTTGAGATAAGGGCCTATAGGTCCTTGTGTGGCGCATGTTCCTGGCTGTTCCCTATCAGAGGAGGTAAAAGTTTGGCCATCGGTTGAAATAGATGCCAGATAGTGTCAATACTCTCAGATTTAAAATGCTGTAGTTCAACATGAGTAAGTTTTTTCTACTGTGTATTCAGCACCAGGTTGCACTGCCCTCATAAACCCAGATGGAGACAGGTTGATTTACACCAGCTGAGAATTTGACTGCAGGTGTTTTATTATGTTGACATGTAACAGCCTCTCTGATCCCATGCTGCTTTGTTTCCTTCTATGGAGATGTCTGAGTTGTTTGCAGATGCCATCATTTGTCTCTTGAATCCCTTTTTGGCTTGGTAAGTGATTGAGAAAAGGAAAATAAAAAAGAAGAAAATAAAAAATTAAAAAGAAAACCCCCAAAACCAGAAAAGGAGATTTGGCTTGGATAAATTCAAAGGTAGTAATGACCTGGAGGTGACCAAAAGGGTGGTTTGATGGTTTGTAGGAGGTGAATCTTAGAATTGCAGTCAAGTTTTAGTGGGAGTGATCGTAATTGTTCATATGTTTGGTGGAGAAGAAGAGCATAAATGGGTGGATATATCACTGAATTAGGGCCACAGAAGGTGTCCATAATAAAGTCCATGTGTTATTTATATCTTAGTTGAGTATCTGGCCTTGTGATTAGTGTAAAAAAGTAGGAACAATGCTTTTGCTCTTTTGCCCTTTTGCCTGTTGTAATAGAGCAGCATGTGGGAAATGCATTTGTCTGTGGACAAAAGATTTCTTCTCTAGGGCTTTCACTGCAAGGTTTTTCTTGAGCACTAATATACCACAAGGGAATGAAAAGTCAATATGACTGAACTGGATTTACACTGAGTAAGTGGATTTCCAGGCTGTGGTCTCCACATACATGGCAAGCAGTGTGCAGCACTCTTATCTCTTCTTTTCCTTTCATTTTCAGTTGGAGGTTTAGTGATAAGGTGCAAAGGTACATGCAGCAAATTTTGTGGGCTGAAATGGACCATTTCTTTAATGAGTTTATTAAAAAGCCAATTTGTAT